CATCTTCTAAAATGTTTATAAATTGAGACTGAGAAAGTCTTTAATGTGTAAAGCAGACCAAAGGTGTGCTTCCTCGGGATAATGGCTGGAGGTGACAAGAAAGAAAAGAACTGGGGGTGGTGCTGTTCTTAGCTTTGTTGTGAGGATAACTCAAGGGTGGTCTGGCATGGTCATTAGAGAGTCCTGGAGCCGCGGGAGACCATTAGGGAATTGTTGGGTCTTCCAGGAAAAGGCCTGCCCCAGTATCCCAGCCACATTCAATCAGGATCTGAGAGCAGCTTGTGGGAAGTGATAGATTTCAAAGCCTAGAAGCTGGGAAAACCTTGTTCACGTCTGCTCCCCACAGTTGAAGGTCTATGAAGCATCTTCCCATTTCCACCCCAGCAGGTTCCCTAAGCTCTCGAAGTCACAGTTTCTCATCCGTAAAATACTGATAGAGATGACTGTGAGGTAAGAATGTACAGTTATGAAAGGATTCTCCCTTTTCCGCTGCCTGCTGCTTCTCTGCTTCCTCACTTTTTCTCCACAATGGCTGACAACCCAGGAAAAAAATAATCCTTCCAATTTAGTAAAATAATTGGTAGTCTCTTCTTTAAAAATGCCCCTGAAAGTTTGCCCGTTCACTGGGTTACAGTCTCAGAAACCCACAGAGGGTCGCTATGAGTTAGCATTGCCTCAGTGGCAATGAGTTATATTTTGGTTTTCAGAACTTGTTATAATGCAAATACCATGGTTCCATCTCAGACCTTATAGGGACTCTAGAGGCTGGAGCCCAGGGATCTGGGTTTTGTTTTTGCTTTAAATTTATATGTGCACACCAGAGTTTGAGAAGCACTGCTCTAAACCATTCTTATTTTCTTTAGTGAAGAAAAAGGAAGAAAACAAATAAAAACCCTTCAAAAACAACTACTTAATGCCAAAAAAGAACGTCAAATTGAACTACAGGTAAGAATTGTTTTAGATAAGCAGGACAACACCCAAAGTTACTGAAATAAACTACTTGTGTCTAAAGGCCCTAGTTCTCAAGCAAATAAAAGTTCTATGTGATAGCTATCTTAGTTTCCTAGGGGTGCCTTTACTGTGGGAAATGTGAAGCGAGAAAATAGGGAGCAGGGCCTGGTGCTGCAGAGGTTAAGCACTAGGTGGTTCAAGGGTCGTGAGAAAAAGATGAGGCAGCCTGCATCTATAATGATTACAGCCTCGGAAACCCCCAGGGTGGTTCTGCTCTGTCTGTTAGAGTTGCTATGTGTCAGAATTGACTTAATGGCAACGAATTTGGTTTGGGTTGGGTTTTAACTAGAGAGCTGGATGAAAAAGTTTGCCCAGAATAAACTAGGGAAATGCCAATCCTCAGCCGCTCTTTGTTCTTACTCTGCAGGGTCTGTCCCAACCACGCCTCCCCTCCTTCCTTGACGCTGACACCTCAGACTGGAGAGCCTGTTCTAGATAGAACATTACTCACATCACAGACCTTCTCATGCATGGTGGCAGGCTTAGTGATGTCCTCGGTGTAGTATTTCAAGTACAAAGTGAACTTAATGCGCTTTTGTGGTCATTAGAATCTAACCTCATAGCTAATGTACTTCTGTAAGAAAATGTGTTTAAGTTTTAAACAACTAACTTGCAAAACAATGTTTGGGTTACAACTGAGGTGGTTAAAGATGAGCACTCTCAGGATGACGGACTGTGTGAACTATTTAGAAAATTACCAAATGTGGCTTACTGTTAGGTTTTCATGCTAGCTTTTTGTACGTTTGTGCTTTACAGCAGTGACTCTTTATTGTTGTCTACATAGAAATTGGAAGAACCAATATTTCTAGTATACTTGGAGGAATTGTTTAAAACAAATGAGATCACTAGACTGTCTTCCAAGTTTCGAGCGTTCGTTTTCTGAACAAACGGCTATACCTCTGTCATCGCCCGTTTCCCGTCACAAAGGGTCTGTGATACTGATCTTGGTGTCATCAGCCCTACTAACGCTCTCCGTATCACTTGCATCTTTTGGAAAGCACTTGTCTTCTCGGAGAAGCTTCACAGACACTGGTTTGTGCTTAGATTTTTCTCTCCGGAGTCATTTTTTGGATCAGTGACTCTCCAGGCACACACAAACATGTAGAGGCAGGACCGCTGGGTCACAGAGGATTCCCGTGTGTAACTTTGATCATACCAAACTTTCCAGAGTGCTCCCGCACTCACTGCCATTGAGCCATGCCGACTCAACGCAACCCTATAGACAGGCGAGAGTGCCCCTGTGAGTTTCTGAGACTGTAACTAACTCTTACCCATCTATCACTCCGCATTATTAGTGTCTGAGAATTCCCAGAACTCCACATCATCACAACGTTCATAATGGGATTTTAACTCTTCTGGTGGGTGTGTAAACATGTCTCCGTATGGTTTTAACTGAGGAGCCCTAGTGGCACAGTGGGCTAAGCGTTGAGCTGCTAACTACAAGGTAGCTAACTGTACCACTCGCCACTCCGAAGGAGAAAGACGGGTCTTTCGATTCCCATAAAGAGCGGCAGTCTCAGAAACCCAGAGTAGCAGTCTGCCCTGTCCTATAAGGACACCGGGAGTCGGAACTGACTCGATGGCACTGAGCTTATGGTTTCAACTTGCATTTATGTTTTTAAAACGTAGTAGGAAAACAACAGTTTTATATTTACCTACATGTTTCTTGTTTCTTATACTCTTCATTCCTTCCTGCAGGACCTAGTTCCCATCCAGTATCATAGTCCTTCAACTTGAAGAAAGTCTTTTAGTATTTCTTGCAGTGCACATTCACAGCTGCTGCTTTCTCTTAGTTTTCTCTTGTTGTTTAATGTAGAACTGTTTTTAATTCACCTTCATTCTTGAAGTCGAGTCGGTTTTCGGGGGGTATAAACTTGGAGCTGACGGATATTTGTTAGTACTGTAGGGATGCTCACTGCCTTTAGGCCTCCATTGTTTCTGAGGAGAAGGTCGTGAATTTCCCTTTAGGTCATGTATTGATTTTTTTTCTGCCTGATTTTGAGATTTTATTTTTATCTTTGATTTTCAACATTTGACTAAGCTGTGCCTAGATGTGACTTTCTTCGTATTTATTCTGCTTCAAGGTTCACTGAGATTCCTGAATATTTACATTTGCATCTTTTACAAAACTTGGGAAATCTTCAGCTATGATTTTTTTTCAGTCTCATTCAGTAACTCGGGTTACACCTGTCTCGAACCTTTTGCTATTGTTCTACAGGTCCCCTATTCATTCATCCATTTATTTTGTTTACACTTTATTTTCAGATTGAATAATTTCTGTTAATCTATCTTCAAGTTCAACAACCTTTCATTTATATCTCCCCTCTGCTGCCCGTGGGCTTATCTGGTGTATTCTTCTTTTAGATGTTGCATTTTTTGAAGAGCCTTGGTGGCATAGTGGTTACGTGTTGGGCAGCTAACCCCCAGATCAGCAGTGTGAAACAAGCAGCCGCCCTGTGGGAGGACAGGCTTCCTATCTGAGAGTCACGGGCCTGAAGCACACACGGGCAGTTCTACCCTGTTCTGTGGGGTCACTGTGAGTCAGAATCGACTCGATAGCATTGAGTTTTCTATTGCATTTTTCAGTTTTAGAAATGGAATTTTGTTCATTTTTTAAATTAAATCATTTTAGTGGGGGCTTGTACAACTCTTTTTTTTTTTTTGCTTGTACAACTCTTATCACAAGCCACATATCCATCCATTGTATCAAGCACTTTTGTACATTTGTCTCCCTCATCATTCTCAAAACATTTACTTTCTACTTGAGCCCTTGGTATCAGCTCCTCATTTTGCTTCCTCCCTCCCCGCTCCTTTCTTCCCCATGAACCCTTCAGAATTTATAAATTATTTTCATATCTTACACCGTCCGACGTCTCCCTTCCCC